GGAGAGGACCCAGAGAGGAGAGACATCACAGAGAGGAGGAGAAAGACCACAGAGAGGAAGAGAGAAGACCACAGAGAGGAGGGAGGGACCACAGAGAGGAGAGAGAGACCACAGAGAGGAGAGAGAGACCACAGAGAGGAGGGAGAGACCACAGAGAGAGAGAGAGACCACAGAGAGGAGAGAGAGGACCACAGAGAGGAGAGAGACATCACAGAGAGTAGGAGAGGGACCACAGAGAGGAGAGAGACAAACACAGAGAGGAGGGAGAGACCACAGAGAGGAGGGAGAGACCCCAGAGAGGAGAGAGAGAGAGAGGGAGAGAGACCACAGAGAGGAGAGGAGAGACCCCAGAGAGGAGAGAGAGAAACCACAGAGAGGAGGGAGAGACCACAGAGAGGAGAGAGACCCCAGAGAGGAGGGAGAGATCACAGAGAGGAGGAGAGAGACCACAGAGAGGAGAGAGACCACAGAGAGGAGGAGAGAGACCACAGAGAGGAGAGAGACATCACAGAGAGGAGGAGAAAGACCACAGAGAGGAGAGAGAGACCACAGAGAGGAGGAGAGAGACCACAGAGAGGAGAGAGACCACAGAGAGGAGGGAGAGACCACAGAGAGAGAGAGAGACCACAGAGAGGAGAGAGAGACCACAGAGAGGAGGGAGAGACCACAGAGAGGAGAGAGAGACCACAGAGAGGAGAGAGAGACCACAGAGAGGAGGGAGAGACCACAGAGAGGAGAGAGAGACCACAGAGAGAGAGAGACCACAGAGAGGAGAGAGAGACCACAGAGAGGAGGAGAGAGACCACAGAGAGGAGAGAGAGACCACAGAGAGGAGAGAGAGACCACAGAGGAGGAGAGAGACCACAGAGAGGAGGAGAAAGACCACAGAGAGGAGGAGAGAGACCACAGAGAGGAGGAGAGAGACCCACAGAGAGGAGAGAGACACCACAGAGAGGAGAGAGAGACCACAGAGAGGAGAGAGACCACAGAGAGGAGAGAGAGACCACAGAGAGGAGAGAGAGACCACAGAGAGGAGGAGAGAGACCACAGAGAGGAGAGAGAGACCACAGAGAGGAGAGAGAGACCACAGAGAGGAGAGAGAAAGCCACAGAGAGGAGAGAGAGACCACAGAGAGGAGGGAGAGACCACAGAGAGGAGAGAGACGACCACAGAGAGGAGGAGAGACCACAGAGAGGAGAGAGAGACCACAGAGAGGAGAGAGAGACCCCACAGAGAGGAGAGAGACACCACAGAGAGGAGGAGAAAGACCACAGAGAGGAGGTCAAAGAGAGACCACAGAGAGGAGGGAGAGACCCCAGAGAGGAGAGAGACCACAGAGAGGAGGGAGAGACCACAGAGAGGAGAGAGACCACAGAGAGGAGAGAGAGACCACAGAGAGGAGGAGAAAGACCATCAGAGAGGAGAGAGAGACCATCACAGAGAGGAGGAGAAAACCACCAGAGAGGAGAGAGACCACAGAGAGGAGAGAAAACCACAGAGAGGAGAGAGACCACAGAGAGGAGAGAGAGACCACAGAGAGGAGAGAGAGACCACAGAGAGGAGAGAGAGACCACAGAGAGGAGAGGAGAGACCACAGAGAGGAGAGAGTCGACCCACAGAGAGGAGAGAGAGACCACAGAGAGGAGAGAGGAGAGACCACAGAGAGGAGAGAGACCACAGAGAGGAGAGAGAGACCACAGAGAGGAGAGAGAAAGACCACAGAGAGGAGAGAGAGACCACAGAGAGGAGGGAGAAGACCACAGAGAGGAGAGGAGAGACCACAGAGAGGAGAGAGAGACCACAGAGAGGAGAGAGAAACCACAGAGAGGAGAGAGACCACAGAGAGGAGAGAGACCAACAGAGAGGAGAGAGAAAGACCACAGAGAGGAGAGAGAGACCACAGAGAGGAGAGAGAGACCACAGAGAGGAGAGAGAGACCACAGAGAGGAGAGAGAGAGAGACCACAGAGAGAGAGAGAGACCACAGAGAGGAGAGAGAGACCACAGAGAGGAGAGAGAGACCACAGAGAGGAGGAGAGACCACAGAGAGGAGAAGAGACCACAGAGAGGAGAGAGAGACACAGAGAGGAGAAGACATCACAGAGAGGAGAGAGAGACCACAGAGAGAGGAGGGAGAGACCACAGAGAGGAGAGAGACCACAGAGAGGAGGGAGACCCCAGAGAGGAGAGACCACAGAGAGGAGGAGAGAGACCACAGAGAGGAGAGAGAGACCACAGAGAGGAGGAGAGACCACAGAGAGGAGAGAGAGACCACAGAGAGAGAGAGAGACCACAGAGAGAGAGAGAGACCACAGAGAGGAGAGAGAGACCACAGAGAGGAGAGAGAGACCACAGAGAGGAGAGAGAGACCACAGAGAGGAGAGAGAGACCACAGAGAGGAGAGAGAGACCACAGAGAGGAGGGAGGACCACAGAGAGGAGAGAGAGACCACAGAGAGAAGAGAGAACCACAGAGAGGAGGAGAGAGACCACAGAGAGGAGAGAGAGACCACAGAGAGAGGAGAGAGACCACAGAGAGGAGAGAGAGACCACAGAGAGGAGGGAGAGACCACAGAGAGAGAGAGAGACCACAGAGAGGAGAGACATCACAGAGAGGAGGAGAGAGACCACAGAGAGGAGAGAGAGACCACAGAGAGAGGGAGAGAAACCACAGAGAGGAGAGAGAGACCACAGAGAGGAGGGAGAGACCACAGAGAGGAGAGAGACCACAGAGAGGAGGGAGAGACCACAGAGAGGAGGGAGAAACCACAGAGAGGAGAGAGAGACCACAGAGAGGAGAGAGAGACCACAGAGAGGAGAGAGACCACAGAGAGGAGGGAGAGACCACAGAGAGGAGAGAGAGAAACCACAGAGAGGAGGGGAGAGACCACAGAGAGGAGAGAGAGACCACAGAGAGGAGAGAGACCACAGAGAGGAGAGAGAGACCACAGAGAGGAGGGAGAGAAACCACAGAGAGGAGAGAGAGACCACAGAGAGGAGGGAGAGGACCACAGAGAGGAGAGAGAGAAACCACAGAGAGGAGAGAGAGACCACAGAGAGGAGAGAGAGACCACAGAGAGAGAGAGAGACCACAGAGAGGAGAGAGAGACCACAGAGAGGAGAGAGAGACCACAGAGAGGAGGGAGAGAAACCACAGAGAGGAGGGGAGAGACCACAGAGAGGAGAGAGAGAAAACCACAGAGAGGAGGGAAAGACCACAGAGAGGAGAGAGAGACCACAGAGAGGAGGGAGACCACAGAGAGGAGAGAGACCACAGAGAGGAGAGAGAAACCACAGAGAGGAGAGAGAGACCACAGAGAGGAGAGAGAGACCACAGAGAGGAGAGAGAGAAACCACAGAGAGGAGGGAGGGACCACAGAGAGGAGAGAGACCACAGAGAGGAGAGAGAGACCACAGAGAGGAGAGAGAGACCACAGAGAGGAGAGAGAGACCACAGAGAGGAGAGAGAGACCACAGAGAGGAGAGAGAGACCACAGAGAGGAGGGAGAGACCACAGAGAGGAGAGAGAGACCACCGAGAGGAGAGAGAGAAACCACAGAGAGGAGGGAGGGACCACAGAGAGGAGAGACATCCACAGAGAGGAGGGAGGGACCACAGAGAGAAGAGAGACCACAGAGAGGAGAGAGAGACCACAGAGAGGAGGAGGGACCACAGAGAGGAAGAGAGACCACAGAGAGGAGAGAGGGACCACAGAGAGGAGAGAGAGACCACAGAGAGGAGAGAGAGACCACAGAGAGGAGAGAGAGACCACAGAGAGGAGAGAGAGACCACAGAGAGGAGGGAGGGACCACAGAGAGGAGAGAGACCACAGAGAGGAGAGAGACCACAGAGAGGAGCGAGAGACAACAGAGAGAGAGATAAAGGCAGAGAGCTACTTTCCTGGAATGGTAAAGGCAGAGAGCCACTTTCCCGGGACGATGAAGGCAGAGAGCTACTCCTTTAAGCGTCCATGGATATAGTGTGGTGTGTGTGTGTGTGTGTGTGTGTGTGTGTGTGTGGTGATACATTGGTGTGAACGAGCCTGATATTGGGTATTGTCATTATTTATCATCACATTTTTGTTACTAGTGCATTTACAATAATAAATAATGATAATGAATAATACAATCTGAAATATTAAGTATATTATTTGATTTGGTAATTTCTAACAAATCAAATTGGCGAGCTACCTGAAAGGGGACGGCGAGCTACAGGTGGCTCCCGAGCTACAGGTGGCTCCCGAGCTACAGATAGGAGACCACTGGTATAAACACTTTGTCTACACAGAAAGCCTGGTTTGTTGCAGCTGTGTCTAACCTCCTCTTGTCTGTGTGTTGCTGTTCCCCCTCCGGCCTGCAGGTGGTGTCCTTGGGTCTGTACTGGGGGGAGAAGGCGTACCTCCGCAGCAGCTGGAACATTCTGGATGGTTTCCTGGTGTTCGTTTCGCTCACTGACATCGTGGTGTCGATGGCCGGAGGAGCCAAGATCCTCGGGGTCCTGCGAGTGCTTCGTCTGCTGCGCACGCTCCGCCCCCTCAGGTAAGATGACTCCGCCCACTCAGGTCACATGACTCCCCGTACTCAGCTGAGAGGACTCTTCCCAGACTTTTACCAGTCTCAATCTCATTGATCCAAAACACAGGTTCTTCAGGTGCTTCTTCCTTCCACACTGAGGACATGAGCTGCTATGTTCTCTCGTCTTCTCTCTCATTCTCATTGTTCTCTCCTCTCTTATCTCCTCTCTCCTCTCTTGCTCTTCTCTCCTCTCCTCCTTCTCGCCTTCTCTCGTCTCCTCCTCCTCGTCCTCTCTCCTCTCTCCTCTCTCCTCTCCTCTCCTCTCTCCTCTCTCCTCTCTCCTCTCTCCTCTCTCCTCTCTCCTCTCTCCTCTCTCCTCTCTCTTCTCTCCTCTCTCCTCTCTCTTCTCTTCTCTCCTCTCTCCTCTTTCCTCTCTCCTCTCTCTTCTCTTCTGTCCTCTCTCTTCTCTCCTCTCTCCTCTCTCTCTCCTCTCCTCTCCTCTCTGTTTCTCTCTCTCCTCTCCTCTGTCCTCTCTCCACTTTCTCTCTCTTCTCTCTCTCTCCTCTCTCTCTCTCTTCTCTGTCCTCTCTCCTCTCTCTCTCCTCTCTTCTCTCCTCTCTCCTCTCTCTTCTCTTCTCTTCTCTCCTCTCTCTTCTCCTCTCTCATCCTCTCTCTTCTCTCCTCTCTCCTCTCTCTTCTCTTCTCCTCTCCTCTCTCCTCTCTGTCCTCTCTGTGCCTCTCTCTTCTCTTCTGGTCCTCTCTCTCTCTCTCTCTCTCTCTCTCTCTCCCTCTCTCTTCTCTCTTCTCTCCTCTGTCCTCTCTCCTCTCTCTCCTCTCTCCTCTCTCTCCTCCTCTCTCTCCTCTCCCTCCTCTCTCTCCTCTCTCTCCTCTCTCCTCTCTCTCTTCTATTTCTCCTCTCTCTTCTCTCTCTCCTCTCTCCGTCGAACAAAAGGTTTATTCTCCAAACACTCCTAGATTAGGGATTCCCCGACTGTGCACTTCCAGTCAGACAGAGTTAAGTAAAACCATAGTTTGTGATGTCACCAGTTGTGTGTTGTGATGTCACCAGTTGTGTGTTGTGATGTCACCAGTTGTGTGTTGTGTGTTGTCAGGGTGATCAGCCGAGCTCCGGGGCTGAAGCTGGTGGTGGAGACCCTCATCACGTCTCTCAAACCCATCGGGAACATCGTCCTGATCTGCTGCGCCTTCTTCATCATCTTCGGCATCCTCGGAGTCCAGGTCTCACCAACACTCTCCTCAGTCTGAGAGAAACCCTCTGAACTTAACTCTCCCCCAGCCAAGGAAAGCTCTCCCCTCTGTCTCTCCTCTCTCCCTTCTCTCTATTCTCTCTCCTTTCTCTTCTATCATCTCTCTCCTCCCTCTTCTCTCCTCTCTGTCTCTCCTCTTTCCTCTCTCCTCTTTTCTCTCTCTCGTCTCTCGTCTATTCTCTCTCCTCTCTCCTGTCTCCTTTTCTCTCTCCTCTCTCTTGTTTCCCCTATCCTCTCTCTCCTCTCACCTTCTTCCTTCCTCCTCCCTCCCCTCTCCTCTCTCCTCTCCTCTCTCCCCGCCCGTCTCTCTCTCCTCTCTCCTCTACCCTCTCCCCTTCCTCCCCTCTCTTCTGTCCTCTCTCTTTAGATAAGATTAGATCATTTATTTCGAACCTGCACAACATGCATCTTCACACACATCAACGTAACAGACAAATATCAAGAGCCAGAGAGAATCGGAGCAAAACTTTGTCCATGAGCACTTCCCTATTGGGCTGCATTGAGCTAGCGTGTTAGCATTATCCATCTGTAAACAGTCTATGATCCCAGGTTTTACTTCCTCCTCAGTTCAAAATGCGTCTATGAAAGAAAAAAGTCACATTTTTGCATTTTTCTCACAATTGTCTTGTTTTTCTCTCTCTGGCAGTTTCCATCATTATCTCTGCGTCTGTTTTTCCAAATTTGCTTTTGATGCAGAATTAGCATCTCTCTCTGTGAAACGCTGCTGTTTAGAGTTTGGATGGAGAGCTCACGCGCCTCGAGAGATCTCACTAATTATCACTGTCTCTTTTTGTCTTCTGTTTCACCAAAAAAAAAAACAGCTTTTCAAAGGCAAGTTCTACTACTGCGTGGGCTTCGACGTCAAGAACATCACGAATAAATCGGACTGTCTGAGCGCTAACTACAGATGGGTGCACCACAAGTACAACTTTGACAATCTGGGACAGGTGAGCGGGGGTTTGTGAGCCGCGAGAGGAGCAGGTTCAGGGAGAGGGGGATTAGATGAAAGAGCGTCGGAAAAATGAGTTGTTTTGGTTTAAAAATAAGGTTAAAGGTATATAGGAGGATTTTCCCAAATTTAAGGAAAGAACAGCCCTCTCCAGTTTTTGAACAAAACTCTCTGGTCTGCTTCGATGAGCACGTATCACCAGAATGAATGATAATTGGGAGGACCAATCGTCTTGATGATCCACCCGGAAGTAGAAAATCCTCCTATATACCTTTAAGTTTGTGTTTATGTGGTTAGCGTACGGTTAGGAAGTGTAGAGAAATACATAAGGAGTTTAAAGTAACAGTAACGCTGGAGTTTCTCACTTTCAAACAACTAAATATGGCCGAGGTACCGCATTTAGAGGAAACGTATTAGTGGTGCCATAAGTCTGCCAAAGTCTCATCCCGACAAGACTTCAGAAGCTAAGCATGGTCAGGGCCTGGTTAGTACTGTGATGGGAGACCTCTGGGAAAACACCAGTGGGGCGGCTGTGGCTGTAAAGTGGAAACTGTGTCCTCAGGCAAGACACCTCCCCCACATCAGAATGAGTCTGGTGCGTGTGTGGTTGGTGGTGGGAGGGGCCGATGGCACAGACTGGTTGCCTCGCTTCTGTCAGTGTGCCCCAGGGCAGCTGTGACATGAAAAATGGTCTGTGTCTTGCGACCACGTGACACATGGGTCAGTAACGTGTGTGTCGTCCAGGCGCTGATGTCTCTGTTTGTTCTGGCGTCTAAAGACGGTTGGGTGAACATCATGTACCACGGCCTGGACGCTGTGGCCATCGACCAACAGGTGACCACCGCCGCCTCCTCTTTTCTCTATTCATGATTTATTACTGTTTATAGGTTTTAGTATTTATTTTATTTTAATTGTTTTATTAAAAGTATTGTTATATTTATGTCTCTCCTTTATCCTTTCTCTCCTCCTCTCCTCTCCCCTCTCCTCCCCTCTCTCCCCTCTCTCTCCTCCTCTCTCCTCCTCTCTCTCTCCTCTCTCTCCTCTCTCTCCTCTCTCATCCTCTCTCCCCTCTCTCTCCCGCTCCCTCTCACCCCTCTCTCCCCTCTCTCCTCCTCTCCTCCTCTCCTCTCTCCCCTCTCCCTCTCTCTCCCCTCTCTCCCCCCTCTCTCTCCTCTCCTCTCTCTCCTCTCTCTCCTCTCTCTCCCCTCTCTCCCCTCTCTCTCCTCTCTCTCCTCTCTCTCCCCTCTCTCCCCTCTCTCTCCTCTCTCTCCCCTCTCTCCCCTCTCTCTCCTCTCTCTCCTCTCTCTCTCCTCTCTCTCCTCTCTCTCCTCTCTCTCCTCTCTCTCCTCTCTCTCTTCTCTTTCTCCTCTCTCCTCCCCTCTCTCCCCTCTCTCTCCCCTCTCTCCCCTCTCTCTCCTCTCTCTCTCTCTCTCTCCTCTCTCTCCTCTCTCTCCCCTCTCTCCCTCTCTCTCCTCTCCTCTCCTCCTCTCTCTCCCTCTCTCCCCTCTCTCTCCCCTCTCTCCCCTCTCTCTCCTCTCTCTCTCTCTCTTCCTCTCTCTCCTCTCTCTCCTCTCTCTCTCCTCTCTCTCTCCTCTCTCTCCTCTCTCTCCTCTCTCTCCCCTCTCTCTCCTCTCTCTCTCCTCTCTCTCCTCTCTCTCCTCTCTCTCCTCTCTCTCCCTTCTCTCTCCTCTCTCTCCTCTCCTCTCTCCTCTCTCCCCTCTCCCCTCTCTCCTTCTCCTCTCCTCCCCCCTCTCCCTTCTCCTCTATCTTCTCTCCTCTCTCCCCTCTCCTCCCTCCTTTCTCCCCTCTCTCTCTCACAGCCGGTCACCAACAACAACCCGTGGATGCTGCTGTACTTCATCTCCTTCCTCCTCATCGTCAGTTTCTTCGTGCTGAACATGTTTGTGGGTGTGGTGGTGGAGAACTTCCACAAGTGTCGACAGCATCAGGAGGTGGAGGAGGCCAAGAGGAGGGAGGAGAAGAGACAGAAGAGGCTGGAGAAGAAGAGGAGGAGTGAGTCTATACCAAGCTTCACATACAACTCAATTCAATGAAACAGAACAGAGAATCAAACACAGGAAATGCAATGATAAAAAAAAAAACACAGAGCCATTGGTCCATAAGGAGACTAGTCCCTGTGAGAGAGGAGAGAGAGACAGGAGAGAGGAGAGAGAGACAGAGACAGGAGAGAGAGACAGGAGAGAGGAGAGAGAGACAGAGACAGGAGAGAGAGACAGGAGAGAGGAGAGAGAGACAGTAGAGACAGAGAGAGACAGGAGAGAGAGACAGAGACAGGAGAGAGAGACAGGAGAGAGGAGAGAGAGACAGGAGAGAGGAGAGAGAGACAGAGACAGGAGAGAGAGACAGGAGAGAGGAGAGAGAGCCAGGAGAGACAGAGAGAGACAGGAGAGAGGAGAGAGTGACAGGAGAGAGGAGAGAGAGAGAGAGAGAGGAGAGAGAGACCGGAGAGAGGAGAGACAGGAGAGGGAGATAGGAGAGAGGAGAGAGAGACAGGAGAGAGAGACAGGAGAGGGAGATAGGAGAGAGAGACAGGAGAGAGAGACAGGAGAGATAGATAGGAGAGAGGAGGGTGAGAGAGAGAGACCACAGAGTGACCACAGAGTCCTGGGGCACAAAAGAAAGAGACAGGAGAGAGGAGAGAGAGAGAGAGATAGGAGAGAGGAGGGCGAGAGAGAGAGAGAGAGACAGGAGACAGGAGAGAGAGACAGGAGAGAGGAGAGAGAGACAGGAGAGAGGAGCGAGGAGAGACACAAAATTATATAATAATGATAAGAAAACCATTAAATAGCTACTTAATCTAAAATAAAATAGAAAAAAATGTAGCCTGAAAAAGTAAAGAATCCATCCATCCATCCATTTTCTTTCCCTTAATCCATTTCTGGGAAAGAAAGTGGGGTTAAGTGTCTTGCCCAAGGACACAACAACAGCAGACATAAAAAAAAAAAAGTAAAGAAAATAGAAATAAATAAAATAAATAAAACATAGTCCATAAATTACGATAAAGTCCATAATTGTCGTTAAATGTCGAATCCTGGATTTAACATTTGGACTATTTCATTTGGGACAATCAAATATTTTTTTTTTATGGAACATAAAAGTGATGTCTCCCAGCTTTAATGTTTTGTTCCGCAAGTTGCTCTCCCGTGACTCTGTGGTCTCTCTCTCTCTCTCTCTCTCTCTGTCTCTCTCTCTCTCTCTCTTTCGCCCCAGGACTCTGTGGTCTCACTCTAACAAGTCCCGGTGGGTTTTCAGAGTCCCCTGTAGCTCTAAGCCCATCCTTGAGTCTGTTCCGGTGAAAAACTCTGGTCTCATTTCTCTCTTTGGAAATGTCAGCAGACCATTGCCCCTGTTGCAGAAAGGATAAAACACTGAAAGCTTAAAAGATCAAATCAAAGTCTCTCCAAAGTACGACTATACTTCAACTGCTACTACTGCAGAGAACACGGACACATCACTATTTAGAGATTGGTGTATTTACTTCTGAATTATGCTAAAGCTACAGTTTTTATTTTATTTAGCATAGTTATTAGATCCAGGACTGAGGCTGTAGACCCAGGACTTAGGCTGTAGATCCAGGACTGAGGCTGTAGACCCAGGACTGAGGCTGTAGACCCAGGACTGAGGCTGTAGACCCAGGACTGAGGCTGTAGACCCAGGACTGAGGCTGTAGACCCAGGACTTAGGCTGTAGACCCAGGACTGAGGCTGTAGACCCAGGACTGAGGCTGTAGACCCAGGACTTAGGCTGTAGATCCAGGACTGAGGCTGTAGACCAAGGACTTAGGCTGTAGATCCAGGACTGAGGCTGTAGACCCAGGACTTAGGCTGTAGATCCAGGACTGAGGCTGTAGACCCAGGACTGAGGCTGTAGACCCAGGACTGAGGCTCTAGACCCAGGACTGAGGCTGTAGACCCAGGACTGAGGCTGTAGACCCAGGACTGAGGCTCTAGACCCAGGACTGAGGCTGTAGACCCAGGACAATGTGAAACTACAGTCTCTTTGCAATGTTGTAATGTCACGTCTTGTGTCTTGCAGAAGCCCAGAAGACCCCATACTACGCCGCCTATGGCCCCGCCCGGCTCACCATCCACTCCCTGTGCACCTCCCACTACCTGGACCTGGTCATCACCTTCATTATCTGCATCAACGTCATCACCATGTCCCTGGAGCACTACAGCCAGCCCAGGGTACAACACACTCACACGCACACACACACACACACACACACACACACATATGTCTGTCTCTGTGTGTCTCTGTATGTCTGTCTATGTCTGTGTCTGTCTGTCTATCTCCATCTGTCTATACAGTGGAGCAAAAAAGTATTTAGTCAGCCACAGATTGTGCAAGTTCTCCCACTTAAAATAATGACAGAGGTCTGTAATTTTCATCATAGGTTCACTTCAACTGTGAGAGACAGAATGTGAAAAACAAAATCCAGGAATTCACATGGTAGGATTTTTAAAGAATGTATTTGTAAATGATGGTGGAAAATAAATATTTGGTCAATAACAAAAATTCAATTCAATACTTGGTAATATAACCTTTGTTGGCAATAACAGTTACTATAGGTCTTTACCAGGTTTGCACACACAGTAGCTGGTATTTTGGCCCATTCCTCCATGCAGATCTTCTCGAGAGCAGTGAACACGGACTTTCAACTCCCTCCACTTTCAATGAGGTTGAGGTCTGGAGACTGGCTAGGCCACTCCAGGACTTTCAAATGCTTCTTACGGAGCCACTCCTTCGTTGCCCGGGCGGTGTGTTTGGGATCATTGTCATGCTGGAAGACCCAGCCACGTTTCATCTTCAAAGCTCTCACTGATGGAAGGAGGTTTTGGCTCAAAATCTCACGATACAAGGCCCTATTCCTTCTTTCCTTAACACGGATCAGTCGTCCTGTCCCCTTAGCAGAAAAATAGCCCCAAAGCATGACGTTTCCACCCCCATGCTTCACAGTAGGTATGGTGTTCTTGGGATGCAACTCAGTATTCTTCTTCCTCCAAACACGATGAGTTGAGTTTACACCAAACAGTTCTACTTTGGTTTCATCTGACCACATGACATTCTCCCAATCCTCTGCTGTATCATCCATGTGCTCTCTGGAAAACTTCAGACGGGCCTGGACATGCACTGGCTTCAGCAGGGGGACACGTCTGGCACTGCAGGATTTGATTCCTGGTCGTTGTAGTGTGTTACTGATGGTAGTAACCTTTGTTACTTTGGTCCCAGCTCTCTGCAGGTCATTCACCAGGTCCCCCCGTGTGGTTCTGGGATTTTCGATCACCGTTCTCATGATCATTTTGACCCCACGGGATGAGATCTTGCGTGGAGCCCCAGATTGAGGGAGATTATCAGTGGTCTTGTATGTCTTCCATTTTCTGATAATTGCTTCCACAGTTGATTTGTTCACACCAAGCTGCTTACCTATTGTAGATTCACTCTTCCCAGTCTGGTGCAGGTCTACAATTCTTTTCCTGGTGTCCTTCGACAGCTCTTTGGTCTTGGCCATAGTGGAGTTTGGAGTCTGACTGTTTGAGGCTGTGGACAGGTGTCTTTTATACAGATGAGTTCAAACAGGTTCCATTAATACAGGTAACGAGTGGAGGACAGAAGAACTTCTTAAAGAAGAAGTTACAGGTCTGTGGGAGCCAGAGATCTTCCTTGTTTGAAGTGACCAAATACTTATTTTCCGCCATAATTTACAAATAAATTCTTAAAAAATCCTATAATGTGAATTCCTGGATTTTTTTCCACATTCTGTCTCTCACAGTTGAAGTGAACCTATGATGAAAATTACAGACCTCTGTCATTATTATAAGTGGGAGAACTAGCACAATCGGTGGCTGACTAAATACTTTTTTGCCCCACTGTATATGTCTGTCGTTCTCTGTCTGTCGTTCTCTATCTGTATCTGTCTTTCGTTCTCTGTCTGTCGTTCTCTATCTGTATCTGTCTGTCGTTCTCTGTCTGTCGTTCTCTATCTGTATCTGTCTGTTGTTCTCTATCTGTATCTGTCTGTTGTTCTCCCTCTGTATCTGTCTGTTGTTCTCTATCTGTATCTGTCTGTTGTTCTCCCTCTGTATCTGTCTGTTGTTATCTATCTGTATCTGTCTGTTGTTCTCTATCTGTATCTGTCTTTCGTTCTCTGTCTGTCGTTCTCTCTCTGTATCTGTCTTTCGTTCTCTGTCTGTCGTTCTCTATCTGTATCTGTCTGTCGTTCTCTGTCTGTCATTCTCTATCTGTATCTGTCTGTTGTTCTCTATCTGTATCTGTCTGTTGTTCTCCCTCTGTATCTGTCTGTTGTTATCTATCTGTATCTGTCTGTTGTTCTCTATCTGTATCTGTCTTTCGTTCTCTGTCTGTCGTTCTCTCTCTGTATCTGTCTTTCGTTCTCTGTCTGTCGTTCTCTCTCTGTATCTATCTGTCTAGAGTAAAGTATGAGTCTCTGAGCTTAAGGTTCAAATCCTGCTCTTGACATAAACATACAGCCCCAGTTCCCATTGGTGTCTGTTGTGTCCTTGGGCAAGACACTTAACCCGCCTCACCCCCAGTCTTTGTGTATCCTAGTGTGCGTGTGTGTTTTCAGTGTGTGTGTGTGTGTGTTTTCAGTGTGTGCGTGCGTGTGTGTGTGTGTGTTTTCAGTGTGTGCGTGCGTGTGTGTGTGTTTTCAGAGTGTATCTCTCGCTCCAGGCTCTCGCTGTGGTCCAGACTGTTAGATAACGTGGTTTTGATTCTGATGTTTGTTCTCGGTCTTAGAGCCACACATTTTCTCAGCGTCTGTTCCAATTAAGCTCATTTTTATTAAACCTCTCGGCTGGCTTCATCAGTACCAGCTGCGGTCCGACACAGCGCTGATCTCACGTCACGCGCCGCTAACTGGAAAATACAATCTAAACAAACTGATTATGAAAATATGAAATGACGATTATTTCTGAGATTTGTTATTTTTCCTCTCGACAAAATCAAAGTCCTTTCTCCTCCTTAATCTTGTATAGTTGTCTTTTCTGTCACAAAACACACAAGTCCACCGGCTGATTCTATTCAATTTGTCTATTACATTTTCGTACAGCTCTAAATCACAGCAGTCGTTTTTGAAAGTTGTCGACCACTGTCTCTCTCTGGTCTCTCTCTCTGGTCTCTCTCTAGTCTTTCTCTGGTCTCTCACTCTGGTCTCTCTCTCTGGTCTCTCTCTGGTCTCTCTCTGGTCTTTCTCTGGTCTCTCTCTCTGCTCTCTCTCTGGTCTCTCTCTGGTCTCTCTCTGGTCTCTCTCTGGTCTCTCTCTGGTCTCTCTCTGGTCTCTCTCTGGTCTCTCTCTGGTCTCTCTCTAGTCTCTCTCTGGTCTTTCTCTGGTCTCTCTCTGGTCTCTCTCTGGTCTCTCTCTAGTCTCTCTCTGGTCTTTCTCTGGTCTCTCTCTGGTCTCTCTCTGGTCTCTCTCTGGTCTCGCTCTAGTCTCTCTCTGGCCTTTTTCTGGTCTCTCTCTAGTCTCTCTCTGGTACGATCTGTAGCTCTCATAGGATCACTATCGGTATATCATGGGCTATCTCTAGTCTATATTTGGTCTCTAGCTGGTCTCTCTAGGTAATATACTTTGGTATAGATATGGGATAGGTATGGGATATCTCGGTCATATATACTTGTATATCGACTCATTGGATCACTAGTGGACTCGATATGTATAGTCTATGGTTTATATCTATTCATATAGCAGGGTCTCTATATGGTCTTATTATATGGTATACTATCTATGGCTCGTCGTATGCTGGTCGATCTCGCTAAGCCTATATTTTGTATATATATGGTATAGTTGTTCTATTGGATAGGTCGGGTATAATAAACGATTTTATGTGGTTATGTTTTTTTAGGAAATGGGGGTGTATTTGTTGTATTTTATGTTTATTTGTGTAGTATTTGATTGATCGTTGAGTTGAATAGTTTCATTACTGTACTTATGGATGGTACTGGTGTTTCTATGTTTGGTAGGTGGTTTGTTTCATGTCACTATGAGTAGGCATATGTATTTATGAGGAAACGACTTCTGAACCTCAAGTAGGCGTCTAGTGGATTAGCTCATATGGGGCGTGTTGGGGATTAAAGTGTATGCTATAGTATGGTGAATTGAGGTGTCGTATCATCTATTGCCTATCTAGATCGATTAGAGGGGACGTCATCTAGCGTTATATATGGAGTGTTGAGGTGCTTGTGTGATACTTGAGGGTAGTACTCAGATTGTTGGCTACGTGTTGGTGTTCTTCTCTTTAGGTGGTTGATTCTGGGTCTTTCACGATGGTGTGTATGTCTATAGCTCGTATATTGTCTCTTGGGGGAGAGTGAGGGAGTAAAGTGTAGAGAGTCATAACTGAGAGATATCGCGATATGAAAGGTGGTATCGATAGAGGCAGAGATCTGGATGGCGAGATGGCGGGATGGGATAGAGATATAGGCGAGTAGAGGTAGAGAGAGGATGGGGGTAGATAGATGTATGGAGAAGGGTAGGAGGATATAGATTGTGAGAGAGAGATGGGAGAGAGATAAGGGGGGAGATAGAGGGGATGGATAGATGATGGGAGGAGAGATGGGGAGAAGAATAGAGATTGGGGAGAGAGAGGGTAAGGAGAGAGGAATGGGGGGAGATAGAGGGAGGGTAGAGATGGGGAGAGGTAGGGGAGAGATAGTTAGAGAGGAGGGAGCAGAGAGATGGGGGGGAAGAGAGGGGAGAAGAGGTTGGGGGGATAGAGAGGATGGATAGAGATAGGGGGGAGAGAGAGGGATGGTTTAGAGAATGGGAGAGAGAGGGAGGGAGAGAGATTGGGGAAGTAGATGGAGGGGAGATGGGAGGGAATGGGGAGATAGATGGAGAGATAGAGGGTTAGAGAGAGGATGGGGTATAGAATGGGGGATGGAGATAGGATGGGGTAGAGAAGAGGGTAGGTAAGATGATTGGTGGTGATAGATAGGGGATGGGAAGAGAGGATGGGGGGTAGAGAGATGGGAGGGAGAGAGGATGGGTGGATAGATATGGGACAGAGAGAGAGGATAGGGAATTTGGAGGGAAGTGGTATGTGTATTTGAGGGGTTGTTTAAGGTGATGACTTATTGAGGGGGTATAGTGGTTGGTTTTGAGAAGGGTGTGGGAATGGGGGAGAAAATGGTTGTATAAATAAAGGTGATAGTACAGGTAATGTGTATGAGTGATGTGATACGGATGAGTTGAAATATTGAGAGTTATTTGTTATAAAGGTGACTGAGGGGGGGGGGGAGGGAGGAGAGGGGGGGAGAGAAGTGGAAGAGAAGAGAGATAGAGAGGGAGGGGGGTGGATGAGATGTGTAGGAGAATGGGGAATGGAGGGAGAGGATGTATATGTGGAGAAGGGATGGAGGGTAGAGGGGGGGTGGGGGGTGGGGGAGGGTTATGAGGGAAAGGGGGAGGGGGGGAGGTGGTGATGGGTGGGGGATGTTGGGTGAGGGGGGGGGGATGAAGTAGGGGGTGGAGTTGGGAGGGTGGGTAGGGAGAGGGAATGAGAGAGGGGTTAAGTATAGAGGGTGAATATGTAGGAGGGTGGGGATGAATTGGGGGGGGAAGAGGGAGGGGAGAATGCGAGAGAGAGGGGGGGGGGGGGGGTGAGGGGGGAGGGGGGGGGGGTGGGGGGGGGGGGGGGGGGGTGGGGGGGGAGGGGGGGGGGGTGGGGGGGGTGGGGGGGGGTGGGGGGGGGGGGGTGTGGGGGGGGTGGGGGTGGGGGGGGTGTGGGGGGTAGGGGGTAGGGTGGGGGGGGGGTGTGTGGGGGGGGGGTTGGTGGGGTGGTGGGGGGGTGTGTGGGGGGGAGTGGGGTGGTGGGTGGTATGTGGGGTTGTGGGTGGGAGGGGGTTGTTGGATTGGGTGGGGTTGGTGGGGGGGGTTGGTATTGGGGGTGTATGGTGTGGGTATGTGGGGGGGGATGGGTGTGTAGGGTGGGGGGGTTGAGGTTAGTGTGGGGTAGGGGGTGGGATGGGAGTTTGGGTGGGTTTGATGGTTTTAGTGGGAGGGGTGGGTGGTGTTGTGGAGTGTGTGGGGGTTGGAGTTGATGGGTAGGTGTTGGTGAGTGGAGTGTGTGAGTTGGGATGGTGGTGGGAGGATGTGTGGTATGTTGTGTGTGATATAGGGTTTGTGGGGTTGTATGAGATGTGGATATTTATAGGGTGGGTATGTGTGGTTTATAGGTTTATGTAGGGGTAGTTGGATAGGTATGGGTATATGTATGGTATATGTATATGAGGGAGAGGGTATGATGGATTATAGGGTGTGTGTATTTTGGAGTAGGGATTAGATGATGATATATATATATGAGGTATGGAGGGGTATATGGATGTGTGGTATATGTGAGGTATATTATATGTATATTAGTGATTATAGTATATATGATGGTATATGGTGTATATATGAGGTTATATATGTATATTAGTGTGTATATATGTATATATTATAGGTGTATATGATATATAGTGTAAATTATATATAGGTGTATATAGTATGTATAATAAGGTATATTATGTTTGTATATATGGGTGTATATATTATATATAAGTGTATATATATGTAGTTTATATGTTTATATATGGTTATATAGTGTATATGTTATATATAGTGTATTATAGGTATATAGTGATATATGTGTATATATAGGTATATATATATATAGTGTATATATAGTGTATATAGTGTATATAGTATATATAGTGTATATATAGTGTATATATATATGTATATATAGTGTATATAGTATATATAGTGTATATATGTATATATAGTATATATAGTGTATATATAGTATATATAGTATATATAGTGTATATATAGTGTATATAGTATATATAGTGTATATATATATGTTATATATATGTGTATATAGTGTATATATAGTAGTATATAGTGTATATATATATGTGTATATATGTATATATAGTATATATAGTGTATATATATATGTGTATATATAGTGTATATAGTATATATAGTGTATATATAGTGTATATAGTATATATAGTATATATAGTGTTATATAGTATGTATATAGTGTATATATATAGTGTATATATATGTGTATATATAGTATATATAGTGTATATATAGTATATAGTGTATATATAGTGTATATAGTGTATATAGGGTATATTATATGTATATATATATAAGTGTATATAGGTATATAGGTTATATAGTTATATAGGTTATATAGATGTGTTATATAGGTATATAATATATATATTATAGGGTATAGATGTGTTAATATAGTGTATATAAGGTTATATAGTGTATATAGTTATATAGAGTGTATATTTAGATATAATTATATAGAGGTGTTATATATGTGTATATGAGTGTTTATATAGAGTATGTATAGATAGTGTTGTATATAGTAAGTTATATAGATGGTGTATATATAGATGTAGATATAATGATATTAGATTTAGGATGGGTATTTAGATTAGTAATTATGTGTGAATTTGTTTATTGAGGATGAGTGAATGAATGGTTATAGGGATTGGGGTGTTATATTGTAGAATGTAAGTGGGATGGGGTATGATGGATTAATGTTTATGGTTGATGGTGTGGGTGGTGGGATTGTATATTTTGGGTGGATATTGGTGTGAGTTTGAAGTTTATTTAGGTGTTGTGTGGGGGTAGTAGGATGATGAATTATGTAGTGGTTGGTGTGATTGAGTGGGTGAATGGGGTGTGTGGGTTGGGGGTAGGTTTATAATTTTAGGTGTGGTTATTTGTGATATGTGATGAGTGAGGTGTGTATTTAATGATGTTAGGAGATATATGGAGGGATGGAAATGTTGATGATTAGGTGAAAATTTATGTGGTGTGTTTGTTATAGGTATGTGTTTTTGAGTTTTAGTTGGGTAGTTTTGGGATATGGGGATGATGGTTTGATATGGTTTTGGATGAGAGGGAATGGGGGAAATGGAGGGTAGGGTTATGGGTATGTGATGTGGGTAGTATATGAGAATTGGGTATATATAGGGTATATATTTATATATATAGGTATTGATTTTTATTGTATGGGTTGAGGGTGTAGAATGTTTGATATGTATGGAATTTAATGGATTTAATGGAGTTTAATGGAGTTTAATGGGGATTTAATGTGTTTTATGGAGTTTTATGATGTTTAGGTAGTATGATGGATTTATAGGTGTTAGTGAGTTTTAGTGTAGTGTAATGGTAGTTTGTGTAGTATAATGGATTAATGAAGTTTATTTAGTTATGGAAGTTTAATTTTGTTTAGTGATAGTTGATGTAATTTGTTTAAGATGGGGTGGTGATGTTATAGGGATTGGGAGAGGATATAGATGAGGGTGTTATATAATGGTAGGGGATTGGGTAGGGTTTAGGGTTAAAAGTTGATGATGGTGGGGTGGTTATGTGGGGTGGTTATTTAGAAGGGTTAGTAGAAATGAAATGGGTGAGTAAGTTGTAGGTGTGGGGAGGGTGTGAGAGAAATGGTATAGTAGAGAGAGATAGAGGATAAGATGGGAGAAGAGAGTGATGAGGGGGAAGGAGGTTATGAGTAATATGGGGGGGAAGAAGGGTTAGTATAGATAGAGAGGAGGAGAGTGTATATATATATTATGTATATAAATATATGTGTATATATATATGTTTGGTATGTGATATATATATAATTTGATATTTGTATGTTATATATATATGTCTATGTGTATGTATATTATATATATATTGTGTGTATATATTATATAATATATATATATTGTTGTTATATATTGATATATATATATTATGTATATATTATATATATGAGTATATATATTATATATTAATATAGTATTTATATTATATATGTATATTATTATATGTATATATTAATATATATATAATGGAATTGATTATTATGTTTTGTTTTTATTTTTTTTAGGATTGATTTTGTGGGTTTTTAGTATATTGGGTGATTTATTTTTTTTGGTTTGTATGTTGGGATGTGATATATATGGTGAGTTAATGAGTTTGATAGGTTAATGTTTGTTTAGTTTAGTGTGGGGGGTAGGTTAATGGAGTTTGAGTGATAGTTTTGTTTTTTAGTGAGTTTGAGGGTAGTTAATGAGTTTAGTGAGTTTTAGGATTTTGGGTAGGTTAAGAATTTATGAGTTTTGGGAGGTTAGTGGAAGTTAATGGAAGTTTGATAGGTTAATGGAGTTTAGTGGGAGTTTTAATGGAGTTTGAGGTAGTTAATGAGTTTAGGGGGAGTTTTTTATTAGTTGATGGGTTTGAGGTATGTTAATGGAGTTTAGTGGAGATTAATGGGAGTTTTAGGGTAAGTTGATGAGGGGGTGGTGGGTTGGTGGTGTATTTGGGTGGTTGATTGGTTGTGAGGGTTGGTTATTTGTGGGGGGAGGGGGTTGTTGAAGGTTGGTGTTTGTATTTTGGTGGAGGATTATAAGAATAATTGGAGGTGGTGGGTGATTTGTAGTGGTAGGGTGTGTTTTATGGTTATTTTATAGGTGGAATTGTGGTTGGGGTGTTGTGGGATAATTGGTTTAAGAGGTCGGGAAGCAGAGTTGAGTAGTTTTGGGAATAAGTTGTTGGGGGAGAGTATAAGGGATTTAGATTGAGGGAAGATGGATTAAATATATGTATAGGGGTAGTAGTTGACAGGTTGTAAGGGGTGTGGGAAATATTTATTGGGAATTGTATTAGTAAATTTGTTATTATTATATGTTTTTGTAAGTAAGTATTATAATGTGAGTGGATATATGTGTGTTTATTGTCTACCAAGTGATGGAATGCACGATAAAAGTGTTTGAAATGCTTATTCTCATAATGGGGTGTTATCATTTTTATATTTTACTGGACTGGTCTCAAAACACTATCGCCCTGTACAAGAAGGGCCAAAGTCGCCTCTTCCTTCTGAGGAGGCTGAGGTCCTTCGGAGTGAGCAGGCCTCTGCTCAGGACTTTTTATGACTCTGTGGTAGCTTCTGCCATTTACTACGCTGCCGTGTGCTGGGCCCCGGGCAGCACAGAGCGGGACAGAAACAGACTGAACAAGCTGGTCAGGAGGGCCAGCTCCACTCTGGGCTGCTCCCTGGACTCTGTGGAGGAGGTGAGGGACAGGAGGCCCCTGGACTCTGTGGAGGAGGTGAGAGACAGGAGGCCCCTGGACTCTGTGGAGGAGGTGAGGGACAGGAGGGTGCTAGCCAAAGCCACCTCCATCATGAACAACACCTCCCACTGCACAGGACTGTAGAGGAGCTGAGGAGCTCCTTCAGTGGAGGACTGAGACACCCTCAGTGTAGGAAGGAGCGCTACCGCAGGGCCTTTATCCCCACCGCTGTCAGACTGTACTTTAAGTCACTGTGTAAGACTGAAAAACCTGCACTAAATATTGACACTATTTCTGATTGCCACTTTTAAACTGCCACTTTTTTTATGTACGTAATATATCTTGCATTTAACATGTTTGCACATTTCTTCCCTTTTTTGCACAATCTGAGTGTTTCTATCCATGCCAATGTGACACGTACATTTCTCCTCCTTGTGAGATAAATAAAGCACATCTTATCTTATCTTCTCTCTGGTCTCTCTCTGGCCTCTCTCTGGCCTCTCTCTGGCCTCTCTCTGGCCTCTCTCTGGTCTCTCTCTGGTCTCTCTCTGGTCTCTCTCTGGTCTCTCTCTGGCCTCTCTCTGGCCTCTCTCTGGCCTCTCTCTGGCCTCTCTCTGGTCTCTCTCTGGCCTCTCTCTGGTCTCTCTCTGGCCTCTCTCTGGCCTCTCTCTGGTCTCTCTCTGGTCTCTCTCTGGCCTCTCTCTGGCCTCTCTCTGGCCTCTCTCTGGTCTCTCTCTGGTCTCTCTCTGGCCTCTCTCTGGCCTCTCTCTGGCCTCTCTCTGGCCTCTCTCTGGTCTCTCTCTGGCCTCTCTCTGGTCTCTCTCTGGTCTCTCTCTGGCCTCTCTCTGGCCTCTCTCTGGTCTCTCTCTGGCCTCTCTCTGGCCTCTCTCTGGCCTCTCTCTGGCCTCTCTCTGGTCTCTCTCTGGTCTCTCTCTGGTCTCTCTCTGGTCTCTCTCTGGCCTCTCTCTGGCCTCTCTCTGGCCTCTCTCTGGCCTCTCTCTGGTCTCTCTCTGGCCTCTCTCTGGTCTCTCTCTGGCCTCTCTCTGGCCTCTCTCTGGTCTCTCTCTGGTCTCTCTCTGGCCTCTCTCTGGCCTCTCTCTGGCCTCTCTCTGGTCTCTCTCTGGTCTCTCTCTGGCCTCTCTCTGGCCTCTCTCTGGCCTCTCTCTGGCCTCTCTCTGGTCTCTCTCTGGCCTCTCTCTGGTCTCCCTCTGGCCTCTCTCTGGCCTCTCTCTGGCCTCTCTCTGGTCTCTCTCTGGCCTCTCTCTGGTCTCTCTCTGGTCTCTCTCTGGTCTCTCTCTGGTCTCTCTCTGCTCTCTCTGGCCTCTCTCTGGTCTCTCTCTGGTCTCTCTCTGGCCTCTCTCTGGCCTCTCTCTGGTCTCTCTCTGGTCTCTCTCTGGCCTCTCTCTGGCCTCTCTCTGGTCTCTCTCTGGCCTCTCTCTGGTCTCCCACTGGTCTCTCTCTCTGGTCTCTCTCTGGTCTCTCTCTGGTCTCTCTCTGGCCTCTCTCTGGCCTCTCTCTGGCCTCTCTCTGGCCTTTCTCTTGCCTCTCTCTGGCCTCTCTCTGGCCTCCCTCTATCTGGCCTCTCTCTGGCATCTCTTTTTAAGAAAAAAACCACATGATTTAAACATTAATTACCTCATATTTGATCATGTTTTGCAGTGTATGGATGAATGTTTTGCAGTGTACGGATGAATGTTTTGCAGTGTATGGATGAATGTTTTGCAGTGTATGGATGGATGTTTTGCAGTGTATGGATGGATGTTTTGCAGTGTATGGATGGGTGTTTTTCAGTGTATGGATGGATGTTTTGCAGTGTATGGATGGATGTTTTGCAGTGTATGGATGAATGTTTTGCAGTGTATGGATGAATGTTTTGCAGTGTATGGATGGATGTTTTGCAGTGTATGGATGGATGTTTTGCAGTGTATGGATGAATGTTTTGCAGTGTATGGATGAATGTTTTGCAGTGTATGGATGAATGTTTTGCAGTGTATGGATGGATGTTTTGCAGTGTATGGATGGATGTTTTGCAGTGTATGGATGGATGTTTTGCAGTGTATGGATGGATGTTTTGCAGTGTATGGATGGGTGTTTTTCAGTGTATGGATGGATGTTTTGCAGTGTATGGATGGATGTTTTGCAGTGTATGGATGGATGTTTTGCAGTGTATGGATGGATGTTTTGCAGTGTATGGATGGATGTTTTGCAGTGTATGGATGGATGGATTTTGCAGTGTATGGATGGATGAATGAAGCAGCAGTTGTGGTTGTAGTATTAGTGAGAGTTTGCTCTGTATCTGGAGGAGGGTCAAGTCCTTTTACCACAAGGACGAGCTCCTCATTGACATTTCCTGCGGTGATGAATGGTCCTGTCCATTCCACGGTTCATACAGACACTGACCTTTAGATGAAGTCCAATCAGAAGGACCATTCAGAGCAGACAGTATCTGCAGGACAGAGATCTGCTGAGTCAAATCCAGTCACTTTCTGTCCTTCTATGGACCTCGCTAAAGCTGGGGGACCTCATCTCAAAACCAAAAAGAGTTTAGCAAGACCTGCTCTCTCAAAACAGTTTGGTTCAATCTCTAGGTTTCACGTGCATGTATACTATACTTTATGCTAGATTCTTTGTTATGCTAATGCTAGAGATTTTATACTTGCTTCTTTGCGAGGAAGTAGGGGGCGACAGTTTCTCAGTTTGTAGAGCATTGGCTTTTGAGCCTGGAGGTCATGGGTTCGAGCCCACCACGAGACCTTGTCCACCGACTCCCACTGATGTCTGCTGTTGTTGTGTCCTTGGGCAAGACACTTCACCTACTTTGCCTGAAGCCCCCACTGAAAGATCTCAGCTCCTGTGGACCCACCACCTGCAGGAGGATCAGTGAGGGGCTGGTGCTCTGTGTACTGGGTGGTATCTCGGGCCACCCCCCTGACCCAGAAATGGATTAAGGGGAAGGAGATGGAATGGAATGGAACTAGTTACATGGATTTTATATAGTTGCATATGTTGTAGTTTAAAAGTTAGGTACCCCCAGCTTTAAGAGAGAGACCAGAGAGAGACCAGAGAGAGACCAGAGAGAGACCAGTGTATCAGGATGCTAAGCCAAAAGCCAAACTCAGACTCACATATAAACTGGAAAAAAAAGACCATTTCTCCCTGAGCCCTGACGCTAAAGTCCCGACTTCTTCTTCTTCGTTTTCGTTCGCTCTTGTTCACAAAGTCCTCACCGTGTTATAAATGTGTCCTACAGTTTACAGAGTGTGGAGCTAAAGCCAGAAGATTAGCCCAGAGCGTCTGCAGCCTGCGCCCCGGGACCAGAGCTGATCTTTGAGGAAAAATCATGTAAAAGTTTAGCTCTGTGCGTTTAGAGAAGAGAGAAGTAATGGGTCTGTGGTGTGTGTAAGTCATGTTTATTTATGTAGCGCCTTTTACAGACCAAAGCACTTTACAATGCTTTACTTACTCTGGCTTTTTGTGTGGAATAACTTTGGACTGTGGCGTCTGAGAGAAGAGAGAGAAACGAGCTACAAACAAACATGTGTAGAGAACGACAAGAGGCAAGTTTAATTGTATAGCACAGTTCATACACAAGGCAACTCAAAGGGCTGAAGAAAACAAGATAGAAACAATCACACAAGGCGTTAAAATCAGAAATAATCACAGTTCATAATCTTCAGTTCTATGTACAGTGTTTTTAACCTGGATTTGAAAATAGTCAGATAAGAAGCCGGTCTCACATTTTCAGGAAGACTTCCCGGTTTTAGTTGCAAGAATCTGAAATGCTGCCTCTGGGACCAGCAGGAGGCCAGTCCCTGTGCTCCTCAGAGTCCCAGCAGGAGGCCAGTCCCTGTGCTCCTCAGAGTCCCAGCAGGAGGCCAGTCCCTGTGCTCCTCAGAGTCCCAGCAGGAGGCCAGTCCCTGTGCTCCTCAGAGTCCCAGCAGGAAACCAGTCCCTGTGCTCCTCAGAGTCCCAGCAGGAGACCAGTCCCTGTGCTCCTCAGAGTCCCAGCAGGAGGCCAGTCCCTGTGCTCCTCAGAGTCCAGCCCAGCAGTGCTCCAGAGTCCAGCAGGCCAGTCCCTGTAGTCCTCAGAGTCCCAGCAGGAAACCAGTCCCTGTAGTCCTCAGAGTCCCAGCAGGAGGCCAGTCCCTGTGCTCCTCAGAGTCCCAGCAGGAGGCCAGTCCCTGTGCTCCTCAGAGTCCCAGCAGGAGGCCAGTCCCTGTGCTCCTCTCTGGTATAACATGATTTCCGGCTCCGTCTCGTAAACAGTGTCATTAAATGTGACTTCTCCGTTTGCAATGTTTTGAAACGCTCCCATCGCGCCGCTCGCTCTGACTCTGTTATTGTTCGTGGCCACCGTGGGTCTTGGCGCCGTGACCTTTCCGCCACCGTGAGCCTCGGATCTCATAATCGAGAGAAATTTACTCCGAGCAAATTCTTATTCACCAGAAAAACCTCGCTCCAACCTCTGCATGCACAAGCAGCGTATCACACTGATGTAAAAGGGAGGTATTTTTAGGCTTTTGTGTGTGTGTGTGTGTGTGTGTGTGTGTGTGTGTGTGTGTGTGTGTGTGTGTGTGTGTGTGTGTGTGTGTGTGTGTGTGTGTGTGTGTGTGTGTGTGTGTGTGTGTGTGTGTGTGTGTGTGGAGCAGGTTGTTAATGCAAACCAATACAGGAACGAGGTCTCATCAATCTTTTTGTTGTAGCCTGTGTGTGTGTGTGTATGGTTTGTGTGTGTATCTGTTTTGTTATGGACTGGAGATACACACACATTATGCAAAATGTGTGTTCTTGGAGCTCGGGACCATGTTTAGGGCCTGAACAACATTCAGAAATAAGGAAATGTATTTTTGTGCTGTCCAACGATTACAATATTTATTTATGACTAATAAAGATTTCCTGGAAAAGAATAGTTTGACCAATGGCAGGATGAGAATATATGGGGCGCCAGATTGTGGGGGGCTTTAGCCACAAAAAGGGGATATTAAGTAAATCTGTGCCTGAGCAGGAGCAGCCAATGGGAGAGCAGAGACCAGAGAGACTAGAAAGAAACCAGAGAGAGACATGAGAGAGAGAGACTAGAAAGAGAGACCAGAAAGACAAGAGAGAGACCAGAGAGAGACCAGAGAGAGAGACCAGAGAGATACCTGAGGGAGACCAGAGAGAGACCAGGAAGAAACAAGAGAGAGGGAGAGATTGAGGATACGAAAGGTGAACCGTGTTATACTGAGTGACCAGTGTAAATGTAATATTAATGTGTGTTTTTGTATTTTGCATTTTCAGGTTGGGAATTTGGGCCTGCTCTTCATGCTGCTGTTCTTCATCTATGCAGCATTGGGAGTCGAGCTGTTCGGAGAGCTCGGTAAGATCACACACCAACCAGAGAGAGACCAGAGAGAGCGAGAGACTAGAGAGAGAAACCAGAGAGAGAGTGACTAGAGAGAGACCAGAGAGAGACCAGAGAGAGATCAGAGAGAGACCAGAGAGAGACCAGAGAGAGACCAGAGAGAGACCAGAGAGAGACCAGAGAGAGATCAGAGAGAGACCAGAGAGAGATCAGAGAGAGACCAGAGAGAGACCAGAGAGAGACCAGAGAGAGACCAGAGAGAGCGAGAGACTAGAGAGAGAAACCAGAGAGAGAGTGACTAGAGAGAGACCAGAGAGAGACCAGAGAGAAATCAGAGAGAGACCAGAGAGAGACCAGAGAGAGACCAGAGACCAGATAGAGGGTATAGAGAGAGAAACTAGAGAGGGACCAGGGAGAGAGATATTTACTTTTTTCCATCTTTTATAACTTTTGGTAGTACTTTATAATATAAATGTTTGGTTCTTCTCTTTTTAATGTAATGTTGTCTTGTTTTGTTGTCGTGTGGTGCAGTGTGTAACGCAGATTACCCGTGTGAGGGCATGAGTCGACACGCCACCTTCGAGAACTTTGGGATGGCGTTCCTCACTCTGTTCCAGGTGTCGACCGGAGACAACTGGAACGGAATCATGAAGGTAACGATACCAGAGGAGTTAGTTACTTCTAGTACTTAGTTACTTCTAATCGGTTACCTCATTAATTGTGTTAGTTACTGTGTCACTGAAGGGGAGAGTGAAGTGAGTTTTTCTCCCATGGACTCAAATATACATTCTTGCAACTCTCTTTCTCTCCCTCTCCCCCCTCTATCTCTCCTCTCTCTCTCTCTCTCTTTCTCTCTACTCTCCCCCCCTCTTCCCTCCTTCTCTCTCTCCTCTTCTCTCTCCTTCTCCCTCTCCCCCTCTCTCTCCCTTCCCTCTCCCCCGTCTCTCTCTTTCCCTATCTCCCTCCCCTCGCTCTTCCTCTCTCCCTCCCTCCTCTCTCCTCTCTGTGTCTCTCTCTCTCCATCCCCCCTCTCCCCCTCTCTCTCCCTATCTCCCTCCCCTCTCTCTTTCTCTCTCCCCGTCTCCCTTCCTCTCTCTCTCTCTCCTTCTCTATCTCCTCCCTGTCTCTCTGTCTCCCTGTCCCCCCTCTGTTGCTCTCTCCCCTCTCTCCCTCTCCTCCCTCTCTCACCCTCCCCCTCTCTCCCCTCTCTCTCTCCCTCCCCCTCTCTCCCCTCTCCCTCCCTCAGGACACGTTGAGGGAGTGCCCGCCTGACGGCCCGGGCTCAGACTACGGCTGCCACGCGGGTCTTCAGTTCATCTCTCCGCTGTACTTCGTGTCCTTCGTGTTGACCGCTCAGTTCGTGCTGATAAACGTGGTGGTGGCGGTCCTCATGAAGCACCTGGACGACTCCAACAAAGAGGCGCAGGAGGACGCCGAGATGGACGCCGAGATCGAGCTGGAGCTGGCTCAAGGGGGCCTCTGCTGCATGATGGGAAACATCGGGGTGATCGCGGGGGCCACGCTGGCGGCTGGAGGAGCGGGAGGGCTGGGGGCGAGCGGAGGGGCAGGGCCAGCAGGGGGCGCTGTGGTCGGAGCAGGACAGGACGCGCTCACGCATCACCAACGCCGCTGTAGGCTCTACTCGCCGGCTCAGGTCAGTGACACACGGGCACCGCAGGGTCCTAAAGAGTCCAAACTTTAGACTCAATTCAGTTTGTTACAAGGATGGCTGACATGCTCAACAATACCATACAATCATTAAATGTTACGTTAGAAATGTATAGTTACTGTATACACACACACACATACACACACACACACATCCACATCCACACACACACACACACCTACACATCCACACACACACACACACACACACACACACACCTACACACACACACACCTACACACTTACACGTATACATACACTGGTTTATGACGGCTCCTGGAGTTCTGGGAGATTCAGAATTCTGGGAGTTCCATTATACACAAAGAAAACTCAAAGTGCTTAAAAAAACTAGAAAGAAACAATCACACATTAACATCATGGATAATCACTTTACATGATAAAGAGTGCTCTAAACATTTACAACCTTTATACATCTTTCAAAGTGTGAATCAGTCTCTAATTCTACAGCATCATCTGTTTCCATAACGATAGTGTATATTGTTTTTCCCACAGAGGGGAAATGTCAGTGTTGCATCAGCAATTACAGAACAGTAGGAATGAGGAGCACAAGATAAACAAACAATAACTCCAGCTTTAGCATAACGAAGAAGCTAGTCTAAAATCTCAAGCTTTAGCAGAGAGATAGAGAAGAAGCTAGTATAAAACCTTTATCTTTAATCTAATAAAGAAGCAAGAATTAAGTGCAAAATCTCTAGCGTTAGCATAATAAAGAAGCAGGTGTAATATCTCTAGCGTTAGCATAATAAAGAAGCAGGTGTAATATCTCTAGCGTTAGCATAATAAAGAAGCAGGTATAATATCTCTAGCGTTAGCATTATAAAGAATCTTCGTGATCCTGGTCCGTGAAAGGCGCTATACAAAGAAACTTAACTTCCTGATTTACACGGTGCTAAGTCCTTGTAAGTCTAGCTCAGAGCTCGCTGTGTGTTTGAATAATGCATGTAGCCGGGTTCTCTGCAGGGGGTCACGGCGGGTGTAAGCTCCGCACGTTCACCGTATGCACCCAAATCACAGCGGCTAAAAATAGTGTGGCGCGGGGGACGCATCGCCAACGCCACGCTCCCAATCACACGCTCGCCGGATAATGGCAAATCAGAGTATTTTTAGACAGGCTTTACCCGGGCCAACCGGAAGGAAACCAGCAACACATGTCAACAGGAGGGAGAGAGAGAGAGACCGGAGGGAGACAGAGAGAGAGAGAGAGAGACCAGAGGCAGAGGGAGACCAGAGGGAGGGAGAGAGAGAGAGAGTGGAGGGAGGAAGGAGAAAGGTGTGTGTGTTAAGAGAGAGTGAGAGAGAGAAAGAGTGTGTGTGTTTGTGTGTTGGGTCCTGAGGCATCACTTTCACACAATGAAACTTTGCATCTTCAACAAATTCCCATTTAAGGAAATTGGCTCCAGCTATTTTATGTTCAAATATTTGTTGGTATTTTTTTTTCAGAAGACATAAAACATGATAAGACATAAAACAACAAGATGAAAACAACAACAAAGGCAAAACGTAACTAAAAGGACAATGTGTGTTTGTGTGTTTGTGTGTGTGTGTGTGTGTGTGTGTGTGTGTGTGTGTCGTTGTGCCTGTGTGTGTGGCGATCAGACTGGTCATGTGACACAGAGGCAGGTGCGGGTCTGCGTCGTCTACTGCACAGGTGAATCTGGCCACGCCCCCTTCAGGAGGGGAGGGGCCGCACAAACCCCACATCCTACCAATCCCAGTGGTTTCCTCGGGTCTCACAGCTGTTTATTAGACATTAGTGTTGGAGTGATTCAGATTCTCATGGAGCTGAATCTGCCTCACGTCTCCTTTAATGACAGCTCCAGTCTCTGACACCTGCTTTATCTTCAGAGCGGAGACAGAAAGGAGCGGGGGCGGCCGTTTTGTACTTTCCCTTCTTTTCCATTCTCTTCTTCGCTTCTGCCGCTGTCACTGTCGGACTGATCCTGGGTATTTTTAACAAGGAACATCAGCACGTGCCACTGAAGCTGCAGACTGCTCTATCACAGGGAACCACTGCTGTCCTCAGGCTGAGAACTTCAAGATCAAACTTTATTGATCTCATATGAGATTTCATAACACTTTGAAGCAACTTTTGTTAAAGTTAAACTCATCATTCTATCAATGTGCAGAAGCCAGTACTTTTCCCTTGTTTTGTCTATCTGAAGGCCAAGCTACAAGCACACCGTGGAAGCTGCTGATTGGAGGTCTCCATGCCTCCGCTCTGTATAATACACTTGCATTCTCTTGTATCTGTGATCGTGTGCTTTGATCGTGCTGTCTCTACCATCGACAATAAAACATGTCTTCTGTCTGAATGAAAGACGCGATCCCAGACTTGGTACATCTTCTTCAGGTGGTGGAAGGATGCGGGCCTTGTCTGTAACATCTACAGAACAGAAGACCTTTTTTTTACACAAAAAGTGTTTTTTTTTTAAGCCAAAACTGAGAAACCTCAAGAGAATGCATCTGGACCAGCACATGGACAATCTGCACAGCCCCTGATTCCACTCAGGCTGTGAGCTGCTGAGACATGGCCAATACCATCGTCCTCTTTTGCATGGACATGATTTGGAAAAATTGGATTACACAATTTGGACATAATTTGGACTGAATTGAATTGCTGAATCTGGACACTGAAGCTGAAACGTGTGATTGAAAGACACGTCACAGAAGAATTGATGGCTCGACACAAATGCAGCCTGAAGAAACAACACGGAGAAGTGGGAGAGACTGTTTTCAAAGCAATATCTGGAACCACCATCGACTGATGAAGTTTGGTATTTTACTGAAGATTGTTGACAAGTTTTATGAAAGATCTGAACATGTTTTATGAGTTTTATGAGTTTTTGAAGTATTCCGAGTTCTGAGTTTTTTGAAGTACCGAGTTTGAGTTTTTGAAGTATTGAGTTATGATGTTATGTTTGCTGTTTATCGATCCTGATGGTCACACGTGAATGTATGACCAGAGGGGGGAATATGAGATTTCATAACACTTTGAAGCAACTTTTGTTAAAGTTAAACTCATCATTCTATCAATGTGCAGAAGCCAGTACTTTTCCCTTGTTTTGTCTATCTGAAGGCCAAGCTACAAGCACACCGTGGAAGCTGCTGATTGGAGGTCTCCATGCCTCCGCTCTGTATAATACACTTGCATTCTCTTGTATCTGTGATCGTGTGCTTTGATCGTGCTGTCTCTACCATCGACAATAAAACATGTCTTCTGTCTGAATGAAAGACGCGATCCCAGACTTGGTACATCTTCTTCACTCACAATGGACAAAAGACAGAAAGTGTGCAGACGTGTTCAAAAAGTGAAAAGATAAAGAGTATATTATGTGCAATAAATATATTTTGTGTACAATTAAAGTGACTATAGCAGTGCAAGGTCGTAGTCCTAGTGCAGGTCGTCATTAAGTGACTTATTGTACAGTCTGACAGCGGTGGGGATGAAGGCCCTGCGGTAGATAGATAGATACTTTATTGATCCCCGTATGAGAAATTCAGGTGTCGGGTAGCAGCAAAAATCATTGTAAAAAGCTAACAATAGTAATAATCAGCAACAGGCCTTCCGGTCACAGCAGCAGAGATGGATTAACCTCTGGGTGGAGCAGGACGGGTCACAGCAGCAGAGGTGGAGTAGTCTCTGGGTGGAGCAGGACAGGTCACAGCAGCAGAGGTGGAGTAGTCTCTGGGTGGAGCAGGACGGGTCACAGCAGCAGAGGTGGAGTAGTCTCTGGGTGGAGCAGGACGGGTCACAGCAGCAGAGGTGGAGTAGCCTCTGGGTGGAGCAGGACAGGTCACAGCAGCAGAGGTGGAGTAGCCTCTGGGTGGAGCAGGACGGGTCACAGTAGCAGAGGTGGAGTAGCCTCTGGGTGGAGCAGGACAGGTCACAGCAGCAGAGGTGGAGTAGCCTCTGGGTGGAGCAGGACAGGTCACAGCAGCAGAGGTGGAGTAGCCTCTGGGTGGAGCAGGACAGGTCAAAAGGTGGAGTAGCCTCTTGGTTCGGACCATTTTCTCTGCTTTAGTCCAAAGTAAAATGCTAAATGCTTCATTAGCATTCCTCCAGTGGATCTTCACCTGATCCACTCTGTATTCTCAGGGACCCAAGCCTTTTTCACTCTTTATTTGTGAATGTAAAACAACCAAACAAGTAAATGTGTGTTTTCTACGTCCGCCTCCTGCAAATCCAAGCCTAATCCCAGCAGGAGCTAAGCAGGGTAGGTCCTGGTTAGTACAGTGATGGGAGACCTCCGGGACTAGCAGGTGCCACAGAGGAACAGCTGAGGATGTACAGTTGTCCGGAGGTGGCAGCAGAGATGGTCCTGGAGATCCCGCCTGAGCTTTGCGTCGGTAGGTTTGCAGTTGTTGGCAGGTTGTGTTGCTTGTTAAGACTCTGTGTGTATCACGTCACGTCAGCGTTGGTGAGATGTGATGGCTGTTTGCAATCACACTGGGACTGCTGTCAGCTGTCGATCCTCCGTGTGGAGCAGTGGAGCGCGGGAAGGGCACATGTGGCTGTCACACACTGTGGTCTCTCTGATGGCGAGTCAGCGGCGAAACTACTCAATTGTGTTTGCGAAAGTGACAAGGAAAAAAGTTAAAGTAAAAGTTGTTCCAGGCAGTTATCTGTGACATTAACTACCATATTCTCTGGCTGATTTCAACATTTTCATCATCTAATCGTTGTTTTAGGACAGAACAAATCTAGTTACATTTCTATACAGATACTTTATTGATCCCCGAGAAATCCAGCAGAAGAAACACAAACACATTCATGCAGACATATACACTCACACATACAAACAAATACACACACATACAAACACATACTTCTATACCTTTTTAACTAACTAACACCTCAGACAGGCAAGTAAGTCAAATTAAAACAAAAACCACAGAGAACTGAAGTCAAAATAACTAAAAATCCACTTCATGACACTGTCAGGACATATTTCAGGACAGAAAAC